AGCTTTGTCTCATGGGATGCAAATAGGTAAAGATACAGTTGATTTGGAAAGGATCCCTCTAGAATGCCACTAGATATCACAACTGGTAAATGTTTGCCTTTTGGATGCAAGCTCTCAGATTAATGGCTAGCCATGTTATCAGCACCACACCAGTCTATACCCCAGACAGTGGACAGAGTCCAAATCCCACAGCCTAGAGGCACCCCAAATGACTGCCTAGAGAGTAGGAGAGCAGGGCAGCAAAAGCAACTTCCATTTACTCCTGTAGCAAGATGGGGCTATGATTTTAGTTAGTTTAAATGCAAAACTGCTCATGCTCAGAATCTCTCTCTTTCAAGGTATGCAAACAGGGTTTTTTTGACATTGGGAATATGAAAACTATTTTAACAAATGGAATGATAGTTGAGGAGTGAAATATTCATCATGTGCTTCACTCCTGAAATAATACAGATAGATCTAAAATTACTTAGCAGCACTACTGGTCCTAGAAGCTTTTCTGCAATTAGCAGTTATTCTCAAGTCAGCTGTCCTTTCTGCTAGAGTTAAGTTGGCATTCAGATCCCTGAATGAGACTGAGTCATTGCATTGCTGTAAAAATAGGTAAAGAATTCCTCACAGATCTGCCACTGTATTGAGCTTGTGGGTTTACATATAACTAGGATAGAATCAACAAAACAGTTTGGGAATCCTAAGATACCAGGCCAAAGAGAGATAATGGTTCTAGTCCAGACCAAAATCATCAGGACTTATCAAATGCATCCACTGTAAGCAGTGGTTAGGAAATCTTGGTTTAGAACTTGGCTCCACATGGAAGATGTGTGCTCAGTCCTCAGCAGTTTATTGGCAGAACACTCAGGTACCCCTACCTGGCAGGAAAAAAGAAAAGAAAGAGGGAAAAAACCCCAAACCAAACCAAAAACAGCATTGCCAGATAGCCAGTATACTGAACCAGCTACAGGCTTCCAGATTTTTATACATTGTGGGTCACATACATAGTTTCAAGGCAGTGATGAGATTCTGAATTAGTGAGAAGGTGAGGGCAATGGTGAATAATATAGAAACAGTGAGAAATCATTATAGGCATCAGGAAAAACATCAAAAACATCATGACCCATTGAAAGTTTGAATAACAAATAACAAATAAAACAGTCAGGTGTTACAGAAATCCAACAGGTTTAAAATGTTGTGGCTTTTGCAATCGGAGATACAGAATTCCTTTAGACAAAACATGAGCTGCCTTAAGACAAAGCATGAGCTGGCTAGGTATTTTTATGTTTCAAAGGAAGTGCAGCTAGGAGCTTGCCTAAAAGCAAGTGGATCATTAGCATAGATTGTGGCTGTTTTTCCTTTTTCCCAGAGAATGAACCAGGAAGAAAAATCCCTGCAGATGGGGAGGGAGACTAAGGGCATTGCTGCCAGATTTTATATTAAAGAACATACAAAAACATATCTTTTTATTTGAGGATATATTTGGACTTTCCCAACACAGCCCTGTAGAGATACCACAACCCAGTACGTATAATCCCACCAGAACACTTACATGCTTACAGCTGGCATAATATTTGTCATGTTCTTTGTGCTTATTAGTAATTTGATAAATTTGCATACCATTTTAGGAACTGTTCTTTTACATATTAATAAATCCCTGTGCCCAACGTCGATGAAACAGAAAATAAGAATAATAATAATAATTTTAAAAAATGACTGTTAGATATTTATATTTATTTTAAATAATTATGTCTGGCCTTTTCATTCTTTACAGTCCACAAAACATAGTGATAACAATATGTAAACAAGCAATTAAAATGAAATAATTTAATAATGGAAAGCAGTATGTAAACACAGTTTTAAAAACTCTTTCTTTTTAAAGAATCACTTAAAGTTGGGGGACAGGACAATGTTTTTAACAGGTCAATTATTTATGTATTTTAGATGCTGCATTTGTTGCTGCAAGAGCAATGCCTGTGTTTTATCACTGGGTTTATTTTTATGATGTACATTGACTCTAAGGTGAGTTTCAGTGATAGTACAAGATTAATCATAAATGGATAAAAGTGCATTTTTACTGCATCTTTAGATAGAGAAAGGCCTTACAACTCTCTGCTTTTCCCAGATATAGGATTTTTTTTATCTAAACATGCATCTCTCGTATATATCTACATGCATGTTAAGCTCCAGGCAGGAGGTGCTTCTAAAAGAGCCATCCCTCAAGGAGGTGAGAGGGATGCTAAAAAGAAGAATCTTCTTGGTGGCTGCCCCCCATTTATGGAGCAGGCTCCTCAGAGAAATTTGCCTGGTGCCAACACTGCTCTCTTTTCAGCGCGAGGCAAAAAATTTTCTCAGGGTATTTGAATAACAGATTTTAAATTGTTTTTAATATATTGCTGTATATAGTTGTCCTTCCACTCGATATAGTTTTAAATGACGATTGTTAATTTTCTCTTTTATATATGATTGGTTTTACTGTTTGTTTTAATATTTGTAATGTTGATTACCAGTTGTAAGCCGCTTAGAGATTCCTGCTGAAATAGCTTGGAGGCTTATAAATGTAAAAATAAATAAATAGGATTGCACCCTAAATGAGTAGTGTGTTCCCTCCACCACCAACTTCAACTGCAAAGAGGCCAATGAGGACTGGATGTGGTGAGGGGGCATGCAATATTATCTTACTGTCAAAAGGGAAAGGGAAAACTGGGAAGGGGAAATGCAGAAGTTGCAACAGGCAACATGCACACACAGAAAGAGGAACCTGAAGCATGGCACTTTTCTTTCTGAAATGCTCACTTTCTGTCTACAAGCAGACCCCACCACCACCAGAGTAGAATTCCTCACCTGGAATCCAATGTAGTTCAGTCCATTCAATTAGCTCATCAATCTGCTGCCCATGTCTAATACTAACTCAGGTCACGCATCCCTAAGTAATACCCTTTACCCAACCACAGTTCTCCAGGGGATGCAGCCAAATGCATTTCCCCACCTTACTTCCTCTGGTTGTTTACTTGGAGATGCCAGGCAATGAAGCGGGATTGCAATTCATGGGAAACCTGCCTGCTACCTCCTCCACCTGCCATTTCTCAGCCAGCTTAGTTTCCTTCTGTTCACTCACCATCTGGCCAGCCACATGCTGTCTATAATGTAACCATGGAGGACCTCACCCAAGCCCATTTAGACCAGTGAGAGTTCCCGCTAGCTCTAATGAACTTAGGCGGCAGCCCTGAGTGCCCATGAGTAAGCTTTCTTTTCAAGTTGTTACAGCTTTGCGAAAGGAAAACTCAGCAATTAGGTAAAAAGTCTTTTAGAGAAGATGGAAAGTACATTATTCTCAGACATCAAGGTCACCAAATTGCTTTTAGGGTACAAGGCAAAGCAATGTGAACAGTGCTTTGGTGACTAAGATGAAGAGCCTACACAGACACAGAATTCGCATGCACACGCACAGAGAGTAGCCATGTCTACTGCAGCAGAAATGCCAAGGAGTGCTGTGGTACCTTAAAAATGAACTTTTCCCCCCAGCCTAGGCTTTTGAGGACTGCACTTTAGTTCATGAACTGAAAATTAGAGCACTATATACAGAGGGTGCCAAAAAATGTATACATGTTTTAAGAAAGGAAAAAACTGTATTATAAACTGTTGTATGGCGATGCTAGCATTCATTCGATTAACACCATCTTTTGAGCAAATGTCATACTACGCATCGCTACCGTAATTCAATTCAACCTCGAAAAGTAATACATAGATAACATCTCCTAAAACGTGTATACTTTTTTTGACACACGTGCATGAGAGATGCACCCTCAAACACTGCACCACGCATGATTTCATGCACTAGTAGTTGCATGCACACAGGCTCCATGGCACACAAACCCACAGACATGACACCACATGCACATGAGTGGTGACAGGCACATGCGTGCACCATACTATATACAAGTGTTTCCCTTAGGACTTTAAAGAGCTAAAAGGCATCTTGAATTACGCCCAGAAGCGAATGCTAGCCAACTCTATTGTACATGGACCAATGTCATCCGGTCCTTCCACACTGGATCAGAAACATAGAGACAAAGTCAGTCAGAAGGGGTCTCCTAGGCCATCTAGTCTGACTCCTGGTTCCAGGAGGCTCCACTCATGTAATCCTCAACATGTGGTTGTCCAATCTTTCCTTGAACACGCTCACTGCTGGGGTCTCAACCACCTCTCTTGGAAGCCCAGCCCTATCCTTGGGGTATGGCTTAGTCAGCAGCTGGGCGATTGCATTTAGCACAAAGTGTCAAAATAATCCACAGTAGAGTGAATTGCAAAAATCAGACTAGAGACTGCCAGATCCTGATTAATGGTGGCCAAATGCCCGTCCTTCTGGAGACAGAGAAGCCCGGGAATAGTTACAGGCTGCAATCACTGCCTTCAGAGATGGGGAAAGACTTTTATGCGACTTCGAGTTTCTTGGAAGGGGGAGCATCAATAATATATCTAAGGGCGCGATCAGACAGGATGCATCGACTTGGGCACCTTTTCCCCTCGAAACATGCTTAGGATCACGACCCTAAGTAAGTTTTTGAAACGGAGGAGATGCAATATAGCTCATTGGGCGAAGGTGGGTCAGTCACGCCAGCTCCCACTCGTCTATCTCATGGGAGCTGAACCCACGCGCTCCCATCTCCCTGGACGAAAGGCAAGAAACAGACAAATGTGAAAAAAAACAAACATTTTCCGAGGTAAAGGTGAAAACTGGCATTTTCGTTCTGAATTTACATTAAATATGGAATGTACATATACACGGCGGCTCTCCCATGACGACGAGGGCGTCGCGAGGGCTCTGCCGGCCCGCTGGCTCCGCCCCTTCGCAGCCCAAAGCGGCTTAAGCCCCGCCCCTGCAGTCGCTGGCTCAAGCTCTCGCGGCGACGTTAAGCGGCGAGGCGGAGCGAAGGGGGTGGGAACAAGGAGCTAGGCTCCGCCTCCCGCCGCTCGCGTGCGAGTTCCGCCGGGAGCGGCATGGAGGCGATGGCGCCCGCGCCCGCCCTTGGAGACGCGTCGGCAGCTCCGGAGCGGGCCTTGGCGACGCGTCCTGCGAAGCCCGCTGCCTCTGCCGCAACCATGAAACTGACCCGCAAGGCTGTTCTGTCGCGGGCCAAAGCCACAGACCTCCGAGGCGTCCGCAAGCTGAACTGCTGGTGAGGGGAGGGGCGGCGCCCACCGGGCGGGGGATGCGGGGCGACCGGTTGGTTGGCGGTACTGCTTGGACCTCTGCAACGAGCAGCATCTACCCAGCAGGGAAGAAGGCGCTTGCAGTTTGGGACGGGAGGGAATGACAGGAGAACGAAGGAAATAAATGGCTGCAGCAAAACAGAAAATAAAGATGCTCAAATGGGGGCTCTCTTGTCCCTCCCCGCATTGTATCCAGCCCTCCCTGTTCTGTTGCCACGTTTTCGCGGCCCACATCAGCAACATTTGTTAGAATCAACCAATAAACATCCCCCACCCCCCCTCAAATTAGGTGACAGGAAATCCTGCAGAACTTTTTTGGTCGTTTCTTTCTTGAAAACGGTTCTTTCATTAGAAAATTAGTTCCGGCCACATAATGGTGACGGTTGAAATAAGTAATGCAATTCATTATTATTAATATTATTACAAATACTAAATCTATATTTCTCGGAAAATATTTCCCATTCTCAGTGATAATCGTAGCTAGTACGTGAGTACTGTTATTAAGCATAATGGTTGCTGTATTCCAGATCACCATCTTTGATTTGTGGAATTAAACAGTTTATTTTTTTTTTATATTCATTCATTCATCTCCCTTCTTATAAGTTTTAAATCTTAGTCTTCCCTACTGTTTTTCCTTTTCTTCTGTTCATCTTCTATTCTATTACATTATCTAATTGGAACTGTAGCGCAGGAGTGCTTCTGGAGCTCTGTCTCCGTTTGGCTGGTCAGATTGGATCTGTGGCCTGAAGGATGCCCTTTCATCCCTGCCAGCTATGTTCTTTCCTGGCTAGAAGGATTTGAAGATTGTCTTTGCATGCCCTTGAAATATCCCATCTGGACTTCTGCAGTGTGACCCAGTGGAACTGCTCCAAAGGCTCCCCAGAAAGTGCAACCAAGCCCAAACTCAGCAGCCAAATTAATATTTACCTGTAGCTGTGTTTGACTGGGGATCATCTGTCCTGTATGAGATGTTGATTTGTGTAAAGCTTGTTTGGACTCAGGGCATGTGAAGCAACATCTTTCTTTATATAGTTCTTCTCATTATGATATAACTTAGTTGATGGCTGTTACTCCATGAGCCTTTTGTGTAATAGCCCCTAAGGTTTACACATACCTCCAAGCAGTGTGTAACAAATTCAGGAGTTTGACCTATGACTAAGATACAAGCATGTTTCCTGCTCTTTTCTTAGGATCTTCTTTTATGTCCTTTAAGTAGCTCATTATAAGTAAAAATGATGACTCAACAAAATGTTGCAAACAGTCTCTTTATTTTTTTGCCCTTTTTAAATCAACACTGCCATTCTACTTTCCCATTATGCTTCACTATCTTTTCCTATTCTTCATTGTTCATATATTGAATTTGGTTATATGCCTTTATTAATACTGTAGCCAACTTAATCATTATTGTTCTCTCACTCTTTGAGTGGGATGATTTAAATTGGTGTCCTGCAACAGCAAGGAGGTTGGACCCAGTGGCCTTCATGGCCCCTTCCAACTGTACTATTCTATGATTCTGTGCTTCCTGTATTTTATGTCTTTCCACTTTTTCATAAGAATAACAGCAGCATCTTCACTCTTGATCTTTGCCCACTCCAGTATATTGCTCTAAAGGTCTCACTCCCAGTAGATTGTTTTCAGTGCCTCACTTCACTGCTCATTTCTATGTCAGTAGCTAGTCTGCCTGTGAATTAGCACAGTTGATCAGGTGTAACCATTTGTGTAATTGGAGTCATCAGTTCCCTTTAGATACCCATTTCATGAGCCATCTATTTATAAGGGGCAGCTAGACAGGGTAGAGGTACTATCCCTTCTCTGCACCCCATTCATTCATACCAAAATATAAGATGGACTTCCATGCATGGCTGCCTAGAGATAAATTAGAAAAGAAACACCGTGATTAAAGCTTTGTTGACTGCTTGATGCTGTCTCTGTGTTCTTTTGAGATGTTTGCTATTTCTCTCGAAATGTGCACAGTGGAGGGTTGCATGCTGTGCCTCTCCTATATGTGATTAATATTCATTTATTTAGGATGTTTGTAGGCTGTCCATCACTTTCGTCTGTGGATGGCTCAAAATAAAATCTATCAAGACAGAGTGCATATCCCAAACAATAATAAATTAAATATCCCATGACTGAAGTATAAAAGTAATTATTAAAATAAGTTAGACAGATAAAATAATTATAATAATTAAGATCTATTAATATTACAATATTGTTTAAATAAAAAGGTCTTGACCTGGTGCCAGAAAGCATATAATGATGGCGCCAGGCGAACCTCTTTAGGGAGCGCATTCCATACATGTATGTATACACATAGATGTGCTTGGGAGCACCTCCAGATGCAAACCTGCCATTGTCAGGTTTCTGCTTTTGTGGAGAGAAGCCTATACAGATATGATCATGGGTATGTTGCAAAAGTGCCAAGAAATGTGTGCTATGATTGATGCGTAGACAGAGCGTGCCATTGCAATGCTACCTCAACACTTGTTGGGGTGTTTGAATGCCTAGAGTGGAGGCCGAATTTTGGAAGAGGTTTAACTGAGCTTTTTTCACATAGGTCTTTTCTTTGCCTACTTCAAGTTCAGTGTGTTATGGAACAATCATATAGGACTATTGAAGGAAGCTTTTTGGGAGTCCCCTACCTGAGCCTTTCCTACAACCCTGGGAGGGAGACTGTTCCAATCCCTCTCCCATTCCTGCTCACAGCCACCAAAGAAAGTACCATGTCAATTACTTCCTGGGGTTATACATGCAACTTCAGGAAGCGTGGGGGCATTTTGCTGGGTGGAGAGGGGAGGTCAAAATAGGTAATATCTTGTGTCTTCTGAACATATCCTGGTGACCTCTCCAGGTGCAAGCAGTGCTTTCATCAACAGGGCCAACAACACAGAGGGCACAGGGTAAACATTCCTTTGTTGCACCTTCTCCCCTGCTGAGCATCAGCAGACAGAACATAATATATTGGGGACACTGATGTGGGAGTGCTTCTTCAGGAGGAAAAGGAATGAGCTCTTAATCACATACATCCTTAGAGGTGCCCGATTAATAGTAGTTTTTCTGTTCCAGGGGCAGCCGCATCACAGATGTAAGTACTGTTTTTCATTTTCTAAAAATGTAGTAAATTTTGGTACTGGCTGCCATGCTTGTTCTGAAAGACAAGAGAAGCAGAGTGGTTAAAATGGTGAGTTTTCTGTTGCAAACCTTAACCTCTCTTAAGCTTTAATATACTTCCAAAACAGTGCTCTGTCTTTGCATAATTTGAGCAAATACAAACTTTATAATAAAATAGAATCTACAGTTCTCTCCTGCATGTTTGGGTGACTTTCCCTAAAGCATTGGCAAGGACTGAGAACCCCTCATAGGTGGCATTTGCCCAGTTGGGGAAAGTGGGGATTGCACACCACCTCAGTGAATAATCTCTTGCCAGTGGAGAAAGTGAAGTTCCGGAATGGAAAGAGCAGAAAGAGCCCCCAGCTCCAGGAAAGAAGCGAAAGCGCATGAGTTGGTCTTTTGTTTCCATCCTACTGGAAGTACAAAGATGAGTGGGCAGGAAGGTGACTGTGCACCTTTCAGCCAACTATGAGCCACTGCTTTACTGCCTGTGCACTATAAAGGGAGGAACCATAGCTCATTGGTTGGGCACATGGTTTGCATGCAGAAGGTCCTGGGTTTGATTCCTTGCGTATCTAGTTAAAATGATTGCTGCTAGTAAGGTAAATACAGGGTGCTACCTGACCTTGGAGGGTTAATGTATCGTTTCTCTGGGAGCAGAGCTCCCTGCCTTAATGCTGGTGACCTCTATGTCCTGTTCAGCACCATAGTCCCCTGAAAACAATTTTAATGTTTGGTTAGTGTGCTCAGACCACAAGTGAAACAGGAGCCTATTGCAGTGTAGAACTTCAACGCTTAAACGTTTCTTGCAGGCTTATTGGATCATTTAGAGAGTTAAGTATGTTTTTTCCCAGGAAACTGTGAAAGTTTACTAAGATTTCTTTTCTGCCTGCTTCTCTCTCTATTTTTAACATGTAGATTTCAATCTGCCGTGAGCTTCCAAACATTGAAGTGATCACATTCAGGTATGTGTTTGAGCCAGCGAAGAAAGCCTCAGAAGACTTCTACTGGGCCCAGGCCACTGTCTTCTGAACTGTTTTATCTTCAATTGTGTTTAAAATGCATAGAATCATGATCTGTTCATTTCCTTACCCTCATGCTCCTGCTTTGATCAGGTTGTCTATGGTTCTAGTCAACTTTTCTCATAGCACAGCCTCTTTTTAGTGCTCTTAGATATGCCATGAATCTGTTCAGACAAGATGTTTATGAAGCCAAACAATTCTACCCCGTCTTTTGAGAAATAGAACCGGGGGTGGGGGGATGTTTATGTCTCTTGAGTTTGAGCGCCAACATGTGGATTTCCAACATGGAATTTAGTATTGGAAATGTTTTTAAACTGAACTTATTTAGATCTGTAGTTATGCAGTGATCCAGTATGATCTGTATTTGGCAATACATTACGATTTTTGGTCCAAGAATACTCCTAAATGACATAACTCCTCTTTATTGATGCTGCATGAAGCAACTCTGCTGGCACTGGGAAGAGTGGCCGCTGTTCCCATCACTGGCTGAGTTAACTACAGTTAGCAACAGGAAATCTTGCTTATTTGTTTCAGGGTATTTGTTTTAACCCTCTTTCTTTCTGTACCCCATAGCACAAGAGTGCTGTTGCGCTTGCTCTGTGTCACCACAGGTCTGTGCTGAAGACTCTTAACTAGGCACCCACATGAATCTCTCTGCACTTAGTTCTCCCTGTGTTTTCTTTGCTTAGGCTAGGCCTATGTAGGTGTTTGATTGCTCAGATGTAGGACTCATGTGGCCATGGGTGTGCACATAAACCCTGCCTCCACTTTCTCCGTGTACCTGGGCATAAGGATCTGTAACCATGGTTGGCTGCATGTGATTACAGAACCCTATTCGGATCTTAGTGCTGAATGCAAAAGTATCTGAATGGCAGGTGGGGAAGTGGGACGTTTGTATACACAAATGTCCTTTCTAATGTTCCCCTTTTTAGTCCTAACACTTGCATAGGACTTCTTTCCTGTGTGTATGGAGAGAATGCATGCTCACATTTCTGATAATCTATCCTCATCTGTCCTCCTTACTGAGTCCAGTGGCAAAACATCACAAGGCTTGTTCTCTCTCTCTCACCTCCTCATGAGGGAATTCTGGATACTGGTGGACTGTTTGGGGTGGTTGCCAGGCTGCAACAGGATTCAAAATATGATCCCAGTTCCCCTATGTACCTCTGAGTCCATGGAAGTTAGGAGCAAGGTAGATGTAGCGATGCAGACTTCCTCATTCCCATTACCCCATCCTCACTTTTAGTAGGCTTGGATGGCTTCAGCTGTTCCCACAGAGAGGTACGAAAGGGTTAGGCCTCTCACCTGATCTCTTCCGGAAAGTAGGAGTTGGCACATAGGCCTTAGGTTGTGCAAACCTGATGTAGATGATAACTACTTGTTCTCTCCATTAGTGCGAATAACATCTCTGACCTGGAGCCAATGACCCAGTGCCAGAACTTAACTGAGCTGTATCTCAGGAGGAACAGTATTGCAAGCCTTAATGAACTCTTCCACCTAAAAAAGCTGTCCCGCCTGAAAATCCTCTGGCTGTCGGAGAACCCTTGCTGTGGCCCTGATCCTCATCATTATCGAATGACGGTGCTGCGTAACCTCCCCAATCTTCAGAAGCTTGACAATCAGTGTATGTATTGCCTTGTCTGTATAGGGTGGTTGTGGTTGTTTTGACTTAACTCCTTCTAGATTTGGTCCCTATGTGTAGCAGAATGCGGTAGTAGAATTCTGAAGAAGTAGAGGGGTCAAACCTCTTTACATTTGAGGGATACCAGGGAGGGCATGGCTTCACAGGGCTTCTGTTGTGACATACAAATTGTTGGTGGGTAGCAGCTTTTCATACAGCATTGGTAACTCCCCATTCTGGTGTTGAAGGAGACAGGAAGACTTTCAGTGGCATAGAAAAGAGCACTCCGTGCGTCACTGCATGCAACTATGTCATGCGTAAAAGCAGCCCCTTCATCTGCTAGCCAAGATGAAGTTCTCTTTCTTCACTTGGAGTGGCCCTAGCCCTACAGTACTGAGCTCAAATAATAAGCGCACTCCATCTTTGGCTTTTGTTTGCTACTTGTAGTGGTGACAGAGGAAGAACTGTCCCATGCGCTGCTTGAAGGGGAGGAGATAACGGCACCTCCAGCCAAATCAGGCATGGCCAGCTGCTGCCAAAACTCCACCACCGAGTCCAGCGTGATGGAGTCTACAACAGAGAATGAAAATGAACTTCTGAATTTCAGTTTGGAGGAGACAAAGTGAGGAGGGCTCCACCGCTCCTTGTTGGAAGTTCTTTCCTGGATGGCATTCATACAGAGCTGGGGTGGGCAATGTGGTGCCTTTGGGTTCCTGGCCACCTGCTTGGAATCTGCCAAGATGCTTTACTTCCCACTTAAAACACAGCAACACACCCACACATTTCTTCATTAACAGCTGGAATCACTTCAAAGTAAATGGATTGCCTCCAGCTGCTGTCTTCTTCATTTCCCACAAATGATTGGGCCACTCTTGAGGCTTGGAGATGTTCTTAGAAAATTAAAATGAGCACCAGGGTTAAGGGACACAGCAGGGGCAGGCTAGGAAGGGCAGTAAGCTAGCTGGAGGTCAGGGAAGTTAGCAGAAATCTGGGAGTGGAGAGCGCAGCAGGAAACCCTTGGGCCCAGGGAACCAGCAACTTGGGTGTTGGGAAGGGCTGTGCACTTGTATGTTTGCATGGATGGGGTTTTGTGTTTGTGTGTGTGTGAGAGAGAGAGACAGACAGAGATGCAGAGGGAACTGAGAAGATCATGGAGATGTCTTGGACAAGAGTCAGGAAGGTTTCTTAAGTGCTTGTTGTGTGGAGGAGAGTGGAACATAAGCTTGTATGCATGCATGATACATGGGGTGAACAGAGGATGGGTGCATGTAAGAGAAGAGAGAAAGGGCTGCTTTTAAAGAAATTCAGAAAGAATCCTTCCTTCCGTCCTTCTATGCTTCCGTCCTTTTTTCTTTTCCAGGCTGGGAGCAAGGGAGAGAAGTATATAAATGATACATTAAAACATGTCTAGCACAGTGTAGTGGGGTGCAGCCTCTCCTTGCTTAAATAGTTGACATGGTGAAGGGACAGCAAAAGTTCAGTGTTTTGAAACACACATGGGACGGGATTTGTCCTATTTCAAATAATGCTGGGTGGGGACATTCACAGGAGGTTGCTTTCATTATTTGTTTTGTTTTTTTTTATTTCCCTGCCCCTGTTACAGTAAAATCCGTGAGCAACTTGGTATGAAGCCAGTTGTTCCAAGAGAAAAATTTTCCTCCTCACCCAAGGAAATGGATGGGAACCGAAAGAAACGGGTGAGCATGAGTTAGAACCCTTCCTCCTGTTCTGAAGCGCTCTGTGCCTTTCTGGATCAGGGGATCTGATGTCTTAAGCTGAGCCATGTTTGCAGCTTAGCTCTGCTAGTGTGGAATATTGAAGGATCCTTCCAAAAGTGACTTCCCTTCGACAAAGCTAGAGCCCTTTGTTGGTGGAACAGGCTACTGGCTGGCTGGGCTTCCTAGTTTCATTCTTTGTGGTGTGTGACTAATCTGCCCTGGCAGTCTGAAAGGAGAAGGATCATTGGGCAGGTTACTTTCATAACCGGAGGGCTCTCAAAAGTAATCTGCTCTGACCAGGTCATTAACCACCCTCATCCTGTTTATTTTGCCAAAAGCAAGAACAGGATAGGTCTCTGAGTCCAGAGGGGGATTGATCCTAAACAGTTTTATTTGGAACTCCTGAGGTCACATTGGACCTACAAAGCCCACCTTCTGTTTCACTGTATTGAGGCTACCTTATGTCTATGGTGTATGTTGCCCTGTGAGGCTGTGGCCCTGAAAGATAGCCTATACATCTCTCACATGCACATGCATGATGTGTCTGTCTTTCATACCATAGCTTCAAGACTTTGAAACCAAACTTGGTATGCCTACCATGTAGACCCTAGCTCTTCCCAGTTATTTTAGTGTTTAAACATTTTAGTTTAATTACACTAATTGTGTTGCAGGGGGCAGTGAACTTTTTAGGCACTGAGGCAGTGTTCCTTAGGCAGCAGTTAGCTTTGCACTTATGTACCATTTAAAGCAAGGGGAGGTTGGTATGTCAAGAAAGAGAGTTAAATGCTTATCCCTGTCTTTTCAGGGGAAAGGAGTGGGATGGAATGTCCAACTCTTGACAACTGTATAAGTTTGCTTGCAGCATTCACTGTATCAGTGTAAGGACTATTCTCACCTGTACAAAGCCTTGCCCATTCATTAATATAAAATATATTTCACCTTATTTATTGCAAAATGTTAGCCTCTCTCATTGTGCCAATGTACTGTGATACTGATGCAGTTTCTGATTTATCTTTATCAAATAAATAGATCAGCATACAGTGTTGGTCATTTGAGGTAATTCTGATCCTGTTTTTGAGGATGATTATGATTAGTCTTGATTGAATATCTGGTCCTATGCTTTTAAGATGTTCACTGTAGGATCAAACCTTCCAGTGTAATCAAATTCTCCAAGTCTTAAATAAGAAAATTACTGCCAGAATCAGGCTGATTTCCTCTTCTCTTGGAAAACAGGTAAAGATTTTGATAGAGAACTGGGGAAAGGCATGAAATGAATAGGAAGGCCTGAAATGAATGAGTGCAGGCCTCAGGAACATGGTATATAGGGATCTGATGGGATACAAAGTATTAGCACCATGGCTTTGATTCTTCCATTCTGGGGAGTACCTGGAGAACATGTTCATTTGCACTAGAATTGCTTTGTTGGATCAGACCAAAGGTCTGCTTGGTATAGCATTCTGATCATGAACTGATGCTGCAGAAACTTCAAAAGCAGATATTCTGGGGAGAATTTGTTTCTTCTTGAAACCAGCAATTGAGGATATATAGTTTCTGGAAAAGGAAGTCTAGTTTTTACTGTTGTGATCCCATATATTTGGAAGTTGGTACAGTAAGTGGGTTGGGGAGGGTGTTGGCAGGAGAAAACTAAGTAAAATATAGACAACCAACAGCTTTGGCTATTGGTGGTATAAAAGTGAAATAAATAATAACAATTAGATGAATCAGTAACTGCAAAGTAGTTAATTTCCTGCTTGGCCCTAATGTTATTGTCTTGCTTTCTCCAAATTAACAGAACAACATCCTCAATGCTATTCTGCTACTCTTAGAAGAGCTGGATTCAGCAGGACTAGAAGTTGTTCATCAAACAGTTGAGAACAAACTTCAAGCCTCCCAGAAGAAAGAACTCCATGAGGACCGGTAGCACTTCCTAGGGAGCTGTTTTGCAGATCCATGGAACCTGCATCAGTAGCCCTGGCTGCATCCTCTCCATTTTGCCTGGTTTTGTGTGGGGATGTTTGACAAAATGCAGGAAGAAGCTCCATACATCCCCTGTGCTTCACATACTAGGACCTGGTTCTATGAGAGGTTTCATTTTCGGCAGCAACTTATGTGCCTGCATCTATGCATCTGCTACCTGGTGTGTCACAAAGGCTCACCACAAAGAGGGGCAATTGAGTATACACAGAATTATGACAGGTAGTTGTGACATGGAAAAGAGTTGAGGCCCCATCACCTGCTGGTGCCTCCCTGTTAGAAGAATCATTCATAGCCTTACTTCAGAGGTAGCTCTGCCAGTCTAAGCCTGGGCCAAGGTAGCATGATGCCCTCACTTTGCATCATGATATTAGAGGAAGAGTTCACTTCATATCTCCATCCACCTGGAGCAAGGAGCTTTTGACAGCCATTTTCCCCTCAAGGTCAGTATTTCACAAAATCATTGAACTTTAAATGCCAGTGGTAACTTTCTAGTCTTTTCCCTCCAGCCTTTCTGCTTTCCTACATAGTGGTTTGCACTTGATGAAAAGGGTGTCAATCTACTCAAAAAATAAATTAATTTGCTTGATTTCTTGTCTTAACTCTGTCTTTTAGCCTTGGATGTTTTGCCTCACTTTTCTGTCATGACTTGCCCTAAGTCTGCACAACATTGTCTAACTGCATTGATATGGGGGAAGTGAGACGATGGTATCTGGTTCTATATCTGTTCAAGTAAGGTATTTGCCATGTTGGATACAGTCTGCTATGCTCTGTTTCTGTTGACCACTGTCACTTGTGATGAGCTGAAGTTACATGGGCAGAGGCAAGGCTTTAGCCCTCCAGAAATACATCTTTTCTGAAATACAGCTGCTAAAGGATTATGGAAAATGTGCTTTTGAAAGTATTATGTAGCTGAATTTATGCTGATAATTTCCTAAAATTATTACAATTTGGTGAGTTTTAATTAGAAGTCAAGATGGTAGGAAAGTATTGCAAATATTGTCAGTGCCCACTGTTGAGGCTTGGTTGTCTCATTCATTCATTCATTTCATTTGCCACCCCACAGCTGTATAGAAGCTCTCTGGGCAGTTCACACAGTCTTAGCTTTGTCCCCTCCCTACTTTGGTCCCACTTTACCATTCAGCAGTTTTAAAGATATCCAAGAAGTTGTTGCAGTTTGAAGGAAGGCTTCACTGCCTTTTGGTTCTGTGTGCATCAGACATTTTCAAGCTAAAGCAAATCCCTTTTTCAGCTTAATAGTTGCATGATAAGATCTTTACCTCCCTTCTGTCACTGGTGGCCCTGTTAACATCCAGTATCTCTGGAGTACCACCTTTACCCCAAACTTACTTAAGGGTTGTTTCTGTTGCTCACATGAACTAAACAAATATGGCTAATTGAACTGACCGTAGTAATAACTTGCAGGACACAGAGAGGGCAGTGTTTGCAAGGTTTTAACAAAACAGGCACTAGTAGCCTCCAAACAGCTGTTGGTTGAGTTCACAGCTAGTAAGGAGCTACTATCAGCCACTGGACTGAGAGGAAAGTACTAGTTAGCACAACAGTTCAACTTTTTTTGAGGACTAGAAGTAACCTCATTTTGTCTCCATCTGTGCTGTAGAAATCCAGTATCAAATTTTCAAAGGTTTGAGGGTTACTGCAGTGCACAATTTGTTGTAGAATACAGACTTCTTCTTCACAGTAGTCAAGGAACAGATTTCAGAATACTAAAAGCAGCCATTCAAAATACACTTCCAAATCATCTTGCTATACCAGCTTAAAGAAAATTGGCCAGGAATTCTTGTTATTAACCCCCCCCCCCCAATAGGTAGGCATTCATGGACCCAATGGCTGTTGCATTACAAAACTTACCTGGCAGTAAGTCATTTTAAATGAAGATAAATTTAGATTCCAGAATAGACTTAGATTCATGGATAGTAATGGCCTGCAATACTCATTGTTCAGGGCTACATAGAACCTTCCAGTACAAGATAGAGCCTCTCTCCTCTGTGTTTCAGTCTAAACATAATAAGCATAACATTTTATGCCCAACCCCTGCCAAACTGTGGAATGAACATTATTTTACTACCAAACCAGACTGTAAAAATCAACCCCAATATGTCCCAGGGGGCACTCTTTCAGAGTGCCAGGAATCTGAAATCAATTAAAACAGACTAATGAGCCATAAAAAGGGCCTTGCATACTACTTTATAATTTGCTACCCTGGCACAGATATTTGTTCTGTGATTTTTAATTGCTCTTGCTCATGAATTGTAAATTGGCTGCCCTTTCTGAGGTTTGTATTAATAATTTGGAAGAGAGGGAGGTAGTTTTAGATTCAGCAAAGGCTCAGACATGGTCTGTGCTGAAATGCCAGCGACTCAGGATGCTTTTCATTTGACATGAGAAATGCTTTCTAGTTCAGAATGTGGTATTTGCGAATCCTGTCCATGTTTTAAAATGAGAGTTGTTGCAAAATAAGAGGATATGTTTTGATCAATAGAGATCTTTCAATAAGTTTATTGATATAGGAAATGCAAACACTGGTGACAGAAAACGGCTTATTTCTTCGCAGCTCTATCAATGTTTGTGCTTGTTTGGGGGAGCGGGGAGGTCACTCTAGCTGTTTTCTGTTTTAAACCACTAAGAATCACCCACTCTGATGCTCTTGATTTAGAATGCTTGTTTGAAATTAATGGAAGTCAGGCTTCCCTTTTGTCTTTCAAGCATATAGTCTGTGTTTACAGGATGTACTACAGTCCAACTGTGGTGTTTGAGGATAAAGACTTTTTAAAAAAAACAGCCCTGTCTGGCATTAGATCTACATTTCATTAATAGCTGAGCTATTAAGTCTGCTTGATTGAATTCTGGATGGTCATCATGCACTGGACTTTTGCTTGCTCATACTGTCCTCTAGAATGTGGTTGTGGTGAACTGGAAAGTAATGATATAAGCAGTACATGATGACAGTAGAATTACTTTGTCACAACCTCCATATTGCTTTTCTTGATACAAAGAAAGTAGGATAGTAGCTACATGAGTCAGCATGAAGTGACTAGAGCAGGGATTGTAACCTATAACTTCTGCAGGTGTTGTTGGTCTCTTTACAGAGAGTTTCTGACTGTGGGCTATGTTAGTTGAGGCTGCTCCAATGTTGAACTCAACAGCATGCAGAGTTCTCCAACCCAAAAGTAAAAGTGGGGAGATCACTTTCTATTGGAGATAGGAGTTGGAGTGGGGACAGCAAGCCTGCCTAGGCATTACCTTGCTCTCAGCTGTAAACTTTACTTGTGCTTACAGAAGTATTGAGAAAAGTAAATGTTCTTGCCACTTCCTACTTTATGCAGACAGACTAGAAAAAGGACCTTTTCACAAATGTGGAATTCCTTTACGATATACTACTTATTTGCATGCACTGTGACTTGCTGTGCTGTCTGTGACTGAGAGCATATGCTTGTGTACTCGGTGTATATTTATAAGTTCTTGTTTTGTGCTTGTGGTACATTGTATAATATCTGGATTGTGGTGATAGAGATGGTCCAAACCAGAGGAGGGGGCTACCACTTCCTTGAGCTAGTTACCTCTGCTTCAGTTCCCCATTTAGTTCTGTAGCTCTCTGGTGACCAGGGCATAATAATCATCTCTCAGGACTGTTGTGGGGCTAAAGGAGTGCTGAGAGTGTACCACACTAAGTTCCTGTGGGGGCAGGGCAAAAGAACATTAAGGGCAGAGGAAGGAAAAGAACACCATTTTACAGCACACTAAGTGGCAGTGTGAACAGTAAACAGTAAATAGTAACAGTAAGGGTTTGAAGAGGGAGGTACAAAGCATCTTAGGCATCAGTATATCCAAAAGTACCACAGACTTTTTTTAAGGCAGTGCCAGCCTCTTTCAGGAAAAGCCATTGATAGACTAATTGCTGATATGTGTGAATCCTGGTTACGAGAGGAAAAAATAGGAAGACCTAGTCTTATCTCTTTTCTGCACAAAAATCACCTGTCTCACTGTGCTGTGAGAGGTCAGAGGCTGGTCCCCAAGCCCAAAAACATCCAATTCAAGGCAAGATTTTACTCTTTGAATTTTTTTAATATCTCTAGAGGACACAAAGCCGTACCACAGACAAATACAGGCAGCACAAGACGCTGAGTTCACAGAAGTGCATAGACATAGCATGGCCAAAGAGCTGGTGCTACCTTGACAGCTCTAGCCAGGGACAATGAACTGGACACAGCCAGAGAGCGTGGGGAAGAGTTCTCCATGCCACGCCACAGGAATCTGGTAACCCCAAACCAGCATGCAGACATACTGCCTTCTCTTGGTTGGCATGTATTCCCGGTGAGGGAGGGAAGGCAGAGCATGGAGAAGAGCTGCGTTGCTATGTTGCAGGCAAAATACTCTGCCAGACAGAATTTTTGCTGGGTGCTTTACTGATGACAACTAATTCTCTGGCCCATCAATTGTCTTGCAGCACTCACAAACTTGGGAGATGCTTGGGGACCCCACATTCCCAATGGCTGGAAAGTAAGGAAAGGTCTTGCTTTTCTTGCATTCTCCATGGCACCAGGCCAGAAAGAATCTAAAACCAAACTGCTAGCCATCTGACAATCCATACACAATTCTTTAAATGTAGTGTAGGAATGAAAGAGTGGCCTGTGGAGTAGGAACAGACCCTGCCTGCCAAGCAGCTGTGTGTTTTCATAAACCTGCATTCCCTCTCTGCTACATGGAGTGACTCGGTCCAGAGAGGGAGCTGCAGGCAGGAGGATTCCCTCTCCTCCCTACTTGGCAGAGGGGAGTGCAGGCCCTGCTGTGGACATGGAGTGATTTTGAAGCATTGGTCAGGCTGCCCTCCAACCACATTTCTGCAGGCTCACAGTGGCACCCAAACGGCATGAGAAGGCCAGAGGGGGAGGGAACTACAGAGGGGTGAGCAGAAGGGAAAGGTTCACTAGAATCCCTTCTCAATGCTCAGTGTGCGCCGGGTGACATGCTCCATTTTCCCAGACACATATTCAGTCAGGCTGATCTGGTAGTGGGCCAACATCTTCAGCATAAGGCGCAGGTTCAGCCACCATTGTTCCTTGGGGAGCCTGTGCCTGCAGGGAGCAAAGCAGCATCAGCACAAGATCAAATCTAAAGCCGGAGGTCATTTGCAAATATTTTTTTTTCCTTTCTCACAGCCAGCCTCTGCCCATCTGAAGGAGGGCGGCTTTCCAAAGCTGGAGCTCTCCAGCTGTGTTGGACTGCAACTCCCATAATTTCCAGCCAGCATGGCCAATGGGAGTTGTGACCCAACACAGCTGCAAAGCACCAAGTTGGAGCAGAGTACACAGGAAGACCTGAAGCTGAACATCGCTCTTTTAGGAACTAAGACTTAATAGGATAGGGCATGTACATAACAGAGAAGGAGCCTACCCAATTCACCCTTGTACTTGATACTTAAGCTCCAGGAGGGATGGTTCAGCATCAAGAGGAAATGTTTATTTACTAATTGGCAGACAGAAAGGAAGGCCACAAAGTTGCCCAGGCAACAAAGTGTGCTTGGAGTTGTCCCAGTCCTCACAATCATCCAGTGTGTCTGGGCGTTGCCTTGTTCCCTCAGAAAGCAAATACAAATGGTGCTGTATCTAAAAGAATCCTGGCAACCTCTCATTGCCAATCTACTGGTTCTTTCCATGAGGTCTGCCTTTCACTGTGACACCACATTTCCCCTCTGTCACCAGAGTTTCAGCTCTCTGGCCTGGATGGCAAAATAAGGTCTACTTACTCAAAGTCTGTGACTTTCTTGAGCTCAGTCACAGGGCTGAAGGACACTGCTTTCCTCCTCAGGCCTATTACACAGGCAGTATCTACAGAATTGGCAAATACACGGCCTGTGGAAAGATAAATGTCTTTACCAGCCTTGCCAGGGAATTCAGCTGGCAAACAAACAGTGTGGCATTACATGAGGTTGCCTGGCTGTAGCTACCCTGGAGGTCTTCAGCAGAAGGCCAGCAGCTACAGAAAATGGAAGGCTTCTACCATCATGGCTTTGAAGGGCAACACACCCATTTTCATCAAGGACTGGCAAACCCAGAGGCACAGGTGTCTTATGAGCAATCTTGAACAGCACACCATGGACTTGGGGGAGGACTGAGGGAGGACTGCTTGAGGGAGGACTGCTTTTTCTAGGTAAGCGATCCCAAATCACCATGGCTCTCTGGAACACAATTTTATGCTGTCCTCGTGAGATTTTTCACAAAGAATATTCTATGGCAAGGGTGGACAATCTGGAAGCTGCCAAATGTTTTTGACTATAACTCCCATAAATCCCAGCCAGCATGACCAATGGGAAGGTATTATAACACCAGTTTGCCTTCCCCTGGTTAAGGGAGTACTGTAGAGCTGAAATAATGCTGAAGTAATGCTTTCTATAGACAAATTGGCATGTATAGCTTGGGCAAAAGTGAGCTCCACACAATACTGGGGCTTGGGAGAAGAATCTGAAAGGGGACAGAATCTGTTGTGGCAAGAGGAACCAGTGTGGGCAATGGGAATTGGAAGTGTATAAAATAGTGCTGACTACTGGCACTGGTGCTGAGTTCTTGAGGGCACTTTGGCAAGACACCCTCCGTGGGCTCCCGTTGCAACCTTCTCATCATCTGCTCCTGCTCCTCGTGCTCTTTCTCATCACTGCTACCACCTTGAGAAGTCAGACAGCCAGTGAGCACATAGGCCTGAACCTGCTGGTCCCCCCTCCCATCACTCATTGTTCAGGCCAGAGGTAAAGCAGGAGAACAAGCAGGTTGCAATAAAGAGGAGCAACTCCAGGGCTGCTCTTATTACAGGGACCTTGGCTGGGCTGTGGGGTCTCGGCAAGTGCCCAGCTATGCTGAGCCATGGCATGGGCCTTATTTAACACCACAAACTGCATATAGAGGCCTGCAGCAGAGCTGTCAGCAGTCTTCTGGGTGCAGTGCAACAGCCAAGCCAACAGTGCAAGATGGTTTTTGCTAGTGATCAAGAGCTTGTTGCCCTCCTTTCCCCTGACAGGCAGGCCATGGAGGAGATACAGCCTGAGGCACAAAACTTCAGGCTATTCCACCAAGGTTCTCCTGAGCTTACAAGATTTTCTATCCCAGAGATGGTACCCTCAACGTACCCTTGCGGTAAGCTTCCTTCAGCTTCTCTGACATCCAGAGTACAGCTTTCACACCCAGCTTGGTGCCATAGTTGCGGTCAAAGGGGGTTGGAGCACCACCCTAGAAACAGAGACAGGGAACTGAAGACAGAGCAAAAAGGATGGCTATGCCACCGTCACAGAGGTCAAGCTGATCTGCACAGATCTGCCATCCCACTCAACAGCCCTTTTGGATGTATCTTCATCAAAAGGGGGGTGTCTAAATGCAAAATAAAAGGGCCTGGTTAGTTACAAGATGGAAAATGGCAGCTTGGCAACAAACTCTCCAGCCACAAGAGGAGATGGCAAAGATATTCAGGTTATGGACTCTTTGACAACAATTCTTCTCCAGGTAACACTTGCAATTTCTTTTTTCCTTCCACCAAAACCCTTAAATCAGTTCTATCCTCAAGTGACCTGTGCTACTCAAATTGTTGATGTTCCTTTTTAGCCACCAACTAAACTTTTCCCCTCACCTGCTGAAGGTGGCCTAGGACATTGATCCTGCAGTCAAATATTCCTTTTCCCTCGGAGGAATAGAGGTTGTAGAGGAACTCAGTGGTATAGTGTTCATGGCACTTCTCATTGCTAAGGAGAAAGTAAGGTCAAAAGGCATTTCTTTGTACAGTAAGCACATAAAATGACAGCTTTTGCATAAAAAGCAGCACAGAAGTTTTCTGGGTTCACCTCAAGGTGCTGATTTTAAATGTTACACCTTGAGTGGTTCAGTCTGGAATATCTTGGGGAGAAGTCCTCCCTGTATTAAATTTCCTCTACCCTCTGGACCGGACTGCTCCCAAGATGAAAGGTTGGGCTTTGCTGGTGGTAACTCCAATTCTGTGGGGCATTTAAGAGACATACCTCAGAGTCCATCATTCTTAACCTTCAGAAAGATCTTTATTTCAGTGACTGGTTCTTGATTTTTATTTGATTTATAGCACATGTTTATTGTTTTTTCTGGTTATAGATTTTAGTGCTTTATATAGTGTAATTTTTTTAAAGCTTGCACATTGTCTTGATTTTAAATTCCAACATGAGGAAATGTAATAGTTATTTAAATAAACTGAAATTTAAAACCAGTGAGTTTTTCTGCATAGAGGGCCAGTGTGGCATAGCTGTTAAGAGTGTTGGACTGGGACTTAGGAGATTCACTTTCTAGTCCCCATTTAGCTCTGGAGTTTGTTGCATGACTTCAGGCATATCATTGATCCTATTCTACCTTGTAGGTCTGTTATATGGATAAAAAATGGAAAGGCGGGGGATCATGTAAGCCACTTTGTACACCTTGCAGGAAAAAAGATAAAAATGTAATGATAACAGACAGCAATGCATGGGGGCTCGGAGCTCTGGGAAGAGCCATTTGTAATGCAAGAAGGGTGCAGAATTGACTGTTTACTTTTGTCCTGCTGGTTCTGCACAGGGAACTGGATCTGAGCAGGAGTCAGCAGATGCAAATTTGAGAAAATGAAACTAAAGAAGTCACAGTGAAACTAGCCCCTGAGCACTTGCAAAGCCACTGCCTTTCCTCTTAAGGAATGTTCCCCTCCTCCTCTTTGCTGCACAGCTGCTGTGAACTCACCCTGGCATGGAACCAAGCCAACCACATCACATTTTTAAAATCACCCATCTCTTTTCAACGTTTCAGAGGCTTCCAGGCTGCCACTCCTTCATTTGTGCTGAATCACTATTCAGCCATGCTATAGAGATGCAAGTCTTGGCAACACTCCAGGGATTGGGTCAGCAGAGCCACACAGATCCATGCTGATCCTGTGACCAAGCAGGTGATGGTGCCCTGCACAAGCAGCTCAGGGTTTCCTATAGATCTTGCAAAACATGCTGGTTGCCCTAACTCTCTGCTGAGTCCAACACTGGCCCTTTCACTTCTTCAACATGGAACAGAAAAAGTAAATTGGATGAACTCCTTTTGAGCTTGAGCCAAGATCTCTTGCTGGCCTTATCAGCTATCACAGATAACTCACCCACTCTAAAACAACTACTCCTGGCCAGAAAAAAGCCCTAAAATTACCAGGATTCCTGAGCCAGGTCATGTTGGAACTGTGAGACTTCTTTTTGTCTAAATAGGCATAGCTTTGTGACCTGAAGCTACAATATGCAGGCACTAATGGTCTTGTCCTCTTTTGCATTTAATCCTGCCCTACTCCTGCTTTCCATCCTCTTTGACAACTAAAACATACCCATTTTGGTACTCACCGCAGTACTAGCCCTCTCTGAATGTCTGTTTTCATTTTATCCGTCAAATGTTCAACATTAGCCTGGAAATACATGAAGAGCAGTTGCTTTTACTGCACTCATTTTTGCTGATAAGGGACAAAATGAAACTGTTTAGACAAAAGGAGGAGGAAATGTCACTTCTGAAGATTAGATAAGACTATAAATGCTTTGCTCACATTCAATAACATTGGAATCAGTAGTCATCTTTGTAATAAACAACTGAGAAAAGTAGAGCTAGGAGGGAAGCAAAACATTCTTTTTAGCAGTTTAAGAAATCCAGGCCACTGTTCAAACCATTATTCTCGGAATCCAGTACCTTCCACTGCCAGTTCTCTGGACATTTACATGAACATCAGTTTCACCGATTATCAATGGAACAAACTCCTAAGCAAACAAATTTGAATCAAGTGACTTCATTCCCAGATGCAAATGGTGCAAAAAATGGTTCCACTTGGATGGAACAAATACTGAGAAGGTCAGAGATGGGAGTAGTCCAGTTGGGAAACATGCTTATCCTCAGATGAGAACTTGTTCTCATTCATGGGCATTTGAGACAAGTTTCCTGGCCATCCTAAACACAATTGTTTCCAACATATAATTAAATGATTAGGCAATGAGGTGTCCGATGTACTTCAATTATGTGAATGAGATTTGTTTTGTTACTGCTTACTCTGGGTGGCGTGTGCTGGCACTGGGATTGCTGTGCCCTCATACGTGCATGTTGTGGGGAGCAGAAAAAAACAATACAGGTTGTCTACATCCAATCGTCAATTCACAGAGGTAAGGTAGGAAAGCACTGGAGAAGAGGAAAGGGAATTTGAGGGGGCTATCCTATCCATGTTTCAACAGAAAAAAGTACTAGAATTCCCAGCATGACTAGACGGGACATGCTGGCAGCTGTAGGACCTTTTTCCTGTTTAAACATAGATGGGCTTATGCTCTAAGAAAACTTTATCCCCTCCTGGAATGTAATCCAATCAGATGTAGGTAGCAACAGTCAGGACCTCTGGTGCCCACTATGTTATGTAGTGTGCAGATCGTATTCTACAACGATCCTAGTGCCCAAGAGCAGCTGGGTGGAAGCTTTCATTGCATCTTTCAGGAGATGTCTGTGTGTGATATGACAATTTTTACTTTGACAAAAGCCTAGCTCCACATTTTAGCCACTAACAGGATGACAACATCTCATCCAGGCTTGCTTCCCTAATCAGCTGCTGAGGCAAAGTACATGTCACAGACTCAAAGACCAACTTCTTCCTCTCCTTGTACAAATACTGTTTTTAGAGCAGAGGTGGCAAACCTGTGCCTTCCAGATGCTTTGGCCCACAACTCCACATCAGCAATATTGGCTGGGTCTGATGGGAATTGGAGACCCAAGCATCTGAATGGCCAGCAGTCCCTCAACCCTGTTTAGAACCTACATGGTGCATCTTCCCAAAACATGGTGCATAGAGGCAAAACATCTGCATGTGTGCATGTCTCCCGGTGGGGAGACAATACCACACTACACTAGGTTGCAGTTGTGTACACACTCAGTTCATCGGTTCACAGAAGTTTACAGTAGAGTTCTTTTTTTGTTCACTGTTCCAACTCAAGTTTTCTCAAGACATTGATTGTCGTGAGCTCTGGATCCTAGATTTCCAATCAGAGATGGGTTGCAGGAGAAATACTGAATTTCCCATGCCTGGGTTTTCATGATAGATGTCACTACCACAGGAGGTTCAAGTATTTTGCATCTCTCTTGGTCAATTTACTTCCATGTGCACGTCCAATATTCAAACAGTTGCAGCATTCATGAAGAGCACTTCATTCTCCCATAGAGGCACAGGAAACTTGTGTGAACATCTGTTTTTAGGGCAGTAGGCATGCCGTTTATACCCTGCTTTTCCAAATATTGTTTAGAGCCATTCAAGGATGCAAGACACCTACAGATGGTAAAATTTTAAGGATAATACGTCTTTTCCATTCTCCTTCCCCTCTCCCTCATGGACACGGACACGGAGTATCCTGCCCTTTGTACATTTAGCTATTTCAGGGAGGGCAACTTTTTGCCACTCCTACTGGTTATAAGCAGCAGTTCAATAAGCATGTTACATGCACACACAGTTTTGTCCCAGCATACCTTTAAGTCATGAATAGTGAAAGGCTCTTCGTAGACATAGGCAGCATCAGCTCCCACTGCAATGCCGGTCACTGTTGACAAGTACCCACAGTAGCCCCCCATGGTCTCCACAATGAAGACGCGGCGTTTTGTGCCTGAAGCTGACTGCTTGATGCGATCACAGCTCTGTAGTGGCAAGGGAAGAAGGAAAGGGATCACTGCTGGGCAAGCCCGAGACCCACCATAAATGGAGATTGTGTGGCTTGAATCAGTACACCTTTCATAGCTGTTTTTTGGGGGGAAATCTTATAGGAGCCACCTGATAGGTTTCCTTATTCTCAGAAATCACTGCATTCAGTGAAACTGAACTGCCCCCCGGCCCCCACAATCTTATGTTTTTCACCAATAGTGCCAACTCCAAGGTTTGAGCGTTCCATCTGCCCTAAACTTTTTCCATCCCCATCAACATTCTATGATATTCTGTCAGCACTGCAGTGTATTAGCAGAACCCATGTTCCTTTTACGAGCAAAATAAGAAATGTAACAGCTGACCAAAGTCAGGTAGGCCCAAATTATGCTGGACCATATTGCAGATAACAGTATTCAGGATGGTAAAAAGCTATGGTTGGACCCCTTCTCC